AGTTTTGTGGAGTCCTCGTCAGATTTAATTACACGCCCTATTTTAGTGTCATCAGCAAATTTACTAATGTTGCTGTCTACGCCGATATCAATGTCGTTTATGTATACGGTGATCCCTCGGTTAACGAGCGCCTCGTTTAACGAAATTTCGGTTAACGAATTACCTTCCATAAGATTCTTCGCTTCGGTTAACGAGCAAACCCTCGGTTAACGAATTCCTTACGAATTTTTCCCAACATGGTTTCGCCTGCATTTGGCTGCCCACGAGCTGTAGTATTAGTCTGCCAATATAGTAATCAGTTTTTGGGGCTTAAATTCCTTACCATTTTAGTAAATATCAAGAAGGTTGTACTATTCAATAATTTTAAAAGTTTTATATTAAATTTTTTAGTCATTTTAACAGTTATTGAACATAATTGAAGTACAGGAAACTATTTTTTTGCACGCCAAACAGCCACTCAACACACCAAGCTTGGCGTCAGTTTACCAGTTGAGAGGAAGGAACATCTTGTTTGAGACTCTTCAACATAAATGCTTTTTTCTGTGTTTCCAGTCAAATTATTGGTCATTTTGAAATATATCTTACATATTGATAATATATAGCGCAGTGCAGTGTTGATTTAAAGAAAATAATCTTGAATTACACCAAATGAACTAAAATTTTATGGGTGAAATGGCGGCATGGGGTGACTTCTCTTCCGCCCCAGTGCCTTCTCTTCTCCCTTCTCCCCCACCCCCATTCTATTTCCCATCATCATCAACCAGGAGCCTTCTACATACACACCTCAAAGTAAGTGTAAAGTATTTTACTGCATTTATTTTTAGTTTGTATGTAATTTTCGGTGAGCTGGAACCAATTACCCAAAACCCATTGAAACAATGGTTTCGGTTAATGAATTTTTCGGTTAACGAGCAACCTTCTGGAACGAATTGTGCTCGTTAACCGAGGGACCACTGTATAATAAATAATAACGGTCCAAGTACTGAGCCTTGCGGAACTCCACTAGTGATGTTGCTCCAAGCGGATTTAGTGTCGTTAATGCTCACTCGCTGTTTCCTTTCCTGTAACCACGTCCTAATCCATTTCAGAATATCTCCTGTAATGCAATGAGCCTCCACTTTTCTTATTAGTCTTTCAAGGGGAACTTTGTCAAAGGCTTTGCTAAAGTTGAGATATACCTGTACTACATACTAATTGTGCCCCTCATCTACTAACTCGAAAACAGATGAAAAGAATGTTAATAGATTAGTTAGACATGAACTCCCGCTTGTGAAGCCATGTTGGAGATCATTGATCAACTTGTGCTTCTCCAGGCTATTTTGAATAGCGTTTGAAATGATTGCTTCCAGTTATTTGCCTACAATTGATGTTAGACTGATTGGACGGTAGTTAGAGGATAGTGATCTATCTCCCTTCTTCAGAATCGGTATTACATTCGCTATCCTCCAGGATTCTGGTACTACACCTGTTTTTAAGGACATGTTAATCAACTTTGCTAAGGGCATACTAAGCTCTTCCTTACCAGTGGCATTTCTAGCCTTTGGAAAGTGGGGGGGGGGCCACTTTGGGGCCAAGGTAAATGTTGGGGGGACAAAACCAAACCTGTGTACAACTTGCAAGATGCAGTTTTTGGCATTATTATACCAATTTGATTGACAAATGTGAAGTGACGTCTCTCATGACGCCAGCCTAAAATAATCAGCATATGGCGGTATAATGGCAACGCTCTTATTCCACTAAACATGATTCATTGGAGTATTGACACACTTGAACATATCTCACCTCACCTCACCCATGCCTGCATCTGGCGTGCGGTGCGCCCATTGCCTGAATCACTTGACTCACTTCCTGGTTTTGGGAATGTTTTTGGAATTGCAATTTTGAGAATAAAAAGTGGGGGGCCAACCCAGGGGCCAGCCCAAAATCTGGGGGGGGCCATGCCCCCCCTCCCTCCCCTGTATAATTGCCCGTTCCTTACATTAGGCCTTAGTTTGTCTATTTGCTTACTAACATCGTTACTAGTCACTACTATCTCTCTTAATTTATTTTCTACACTATCTCTGTATAGAGTCGGTGCCTCAGGTATCGTGTGTAAATTTTCGGTGGTGAAAACTGTTGAAAAATATTTATTCAGATTATAATCTGAATAATTATTGCTCATTTCTCCGTCGTTAACAGTTAGCTCGCCGGTATCTGACTGTATTGGTCCAATCTTTTCTCTTGTTTTAGTTTGATACATTTGATAGAATCCCTTGGGGTTTGACTTCGCCTCCCTTGCTACCTTCAGTTCATTATTCCTCTTTGCTTTTCTTATCTCGGTCTTAACCTTACCGGGCAAGCACAACAGCTTATTAAACCGTTTTGACGTGTAAGCGCAAGCATAAACTAATAACTGTACATGAAATAAAATAAAAGAAATTAAATAAACCAACGAGTTATTACTAACAATACTACATTGCATGAAGCAATTATATAATATTTTTAATTGTTTGTGTTGAGTTAATAGACACTCGGTACACACAATCAGTATCACAAATTTTTAGAACTCTTTGCATATTAGCGACTTAACCGTTCTCCCCACTTCAATCTGGCTGGGCAGTGATACTCTGAAGTGCTGCCCCGGAGAATGCTACTTATAGCTGGCCCTCACAGCTCTATGTGTGGACTGCGGGAAATACCACAACCAGCTATAACACTTCTTATTTATATCAATATCCAACTATAACACTTCTTATTTATATCAATATCCAACTATAACACTTCTTATTTATATCAATATCCAACTATAACACTTCTTATTTACATCAATATCCAACTATAACACTTCTTATTTACATCAATATCCAACTACAGTATAGTCTGGATTTACGCAGTTTTGATTAACGCGTTTGGTCATTTACGCGGTGTCTTGCCAGAATTGAAATGCTTTAATTATGCGGTAAATTTGGTCTTTTACGCGGAGAGTGGCTGGAGGGTCCAGACGCGCTGCGCCATTTTGTATTCAAGCGGCCCATGCCTGACCACAAGCGGGGAGAAGCAGCGCGAGTAAGGTTGCACAGTATGTCGCTGTTGCGTTATCGGTGACGTCATATGACGTATCGGACTGTGATTGGGCCACACATCCTTTCCACCCACGCATTCCCTCCGCCGCTAGCTGTGATTGGTCTAATGTAACATGACGTGCCCTGCCACCAGAAGGTAGAAGTCGCTGACCTAGCAGGGCCTGTCTCATTGTTCTCAGTCCGCGTATACAGTTCTCTCTTGTGCCCGCTATTCCCCTCACAATGGCTTCCGCGGGACCCCCACTACCAGAGAAAAGCATTGAATTACCTGGACCAAGCCATGATTGTGTGAAGGAAATCATCGAGTTGGGGGAGAAAATTAAGCTCATCCTTGACAACGACCCAGACAAGCATCGGTATGAAGCGTCTAATAACCATCTGACGAAAGTTATGGAGCCGTATATCCAGATCTATCTCGACAACATCAATGCTAGTCGTCAACGTAGTATTGAGGACTTCCTCGCCCGCAACCCCCCACAACCACAGCCAGCCCAAGTCAGTGATAGTGATATTGACAGTGAGGATATGGACTTTGAGAGGTTTGTCTGGGAGGCCCTGCAAACCTCTACGAGTAGTGAAAGAAAGTGATTCACCGGAGGGCAACTAATCTGCCCTCTGCCTCGGAACCAGCCGCCATCCACGTGTGCTGAACCAGCTTTTCTACTAATGTAAGTGTTAAAATCCTAATATTATTGATATTTTTCTTAATTATTAATTATGTGTGCATACCATCATAAAATTAAGATGTTATTTTTACTACAACGTACGTATTGTGTCGGCAAAAAGTGGAGTTTGGGGATTGGCCCCGTCTCTATTTCAATTAATCCCATATGTTCTGTTATTTCATCTACACGTTTCTCGTTTTACGCTGGCCTCCACGGGTTCAATTGACCGCGTAAATGCAGACTATACTGTATAACACTTCTTATTTATATCAATATTCAACTATAACAATTCTTATTTATATCAATATTCAACTATAACACTTCTTATTTATATCAATATTCAACTATAACACTTCTTATTTATATCAATATTCAACTATAACACTTCCTATTTATATCAATATTCAACTATAACACTTCTTATTTAAGTGATACAGTATACAAAATACAACAATGTGACTCAATACATATTTACATTTAATAACTACTGTACACACTTGTCGAGCTCAACATGCCTTATGTCAAGTCTTTTCACTGCGGCCCCAACTCAAGAGTCAAAGAGTGGGACTCAACGGGCCAACACAACTACAGTGTGGAACAGTGAGCATCGCGATGCACCTGAGATTCTCCCACTTTATATATTAAATCTCTTTTAAAACTATTTTACATAGTTAAATTTGCAAAAACTGAATAAAAATACAATACTGTACAGTATATGAAACAAACATTACTACAAAATATTAAAAGTACATAAATACATTACATGGCAACATAACACTACTGTACTTGTGTGGATAGGGAACTGATTGATAGGGCCATTTCCTGTACATAGACATTGCAGGTATATGACATAGTACTTAGGCCATACAGGTTTACAAACATTGGTGAACAGTAAGTAAATTCAACCAAGGATAAACCAAGATAAGAAGTTTTGATAAATGGAGAACCAGCAATACTGGGAATAGTTTCGTTTATTCATTTAAAAAAGTAAATTGGTTTTTGTATCACTATCAAAAAGTTGTGTCTTTATCTGTCTCTTTGGATGAATTATGTCAACACTATAGATCCCAAGTTTTTAAGTCACTTTTGGTGAACCTTGTTATGAATAATGTAATGTAGGATCCCAAGTGTGAGAGTGTAGTCACTCTAGTGTGTAAATTTTATAAAACATGACAAGAGTATTAACAATGTTTCATTTTTACAATATTGAGGTATAATTTATATTAATTCCACATTGGAGACAAAATGAAGAATATTATGACCTTTTTTCCAGGAATCCTACAATAACATGAGAGCAGATACTGGACTAAGGTAAAGTAGGTGACTGTTGATGTAATGTATAGTACAGTACTATAGTCTGCATGAAGTAAGCACTGTACAGTAATGTAAGGTACATGCTGTGCACATTTTTCTGTTGAGAAATTACTGTACAGTGTAATTACAATTTTGTTGGGGTATTATGCTGCTAGACGACATCAGTCACTAAGGCCCGAATTCAGAAAGGTGGTTTGAGCCTAGGATTTGAACTCGGCTCAGGCGTGCAAATCGGAATTCCTTGATCCAAGATTTCCTGCAGTGGATTACCCGTGTTCAAAACATCAGCATGAACTCCGGATCGGATAATCTGTTGCAATTTCTCCAATTTCGAGCAAGGATTTGAACACTGAAATTCCAGCCAATCACGTTTCATTTAAACCATTACAACAGCCACTCACCATCGAGAGTAATGTTTACAAGATTATGGCGGCAACTATGAATCGGCAACTTCTTACAGAGGAAAAATCTCTCCTTGCACATCATACGTTACTTTTGTTACTATAATTACAATCAAATTAGGATAAAATTATAATGATTTATTGTACAGTGATCCCTCGGTTAACAAACGGCTTTGTTAACGAAATTTTGGTTAACGAATTACCTTCCATAAGAATATTCAATTCGGTTAACGAATTCCTTACGAATTTTTTCCAACATGTTTTTGCCTGCTTTCGGCTGCTCACCAGCTGTAGTATTAGTCCGCCAATACAGTAATCGGTTTTAAGGCTTAAATTCGTTACCATTTGAGTAAATATCAAGAAGGTTGTACTATTCAATAATTTTCCAAGTCTTATATTAAAATTTTTAGTCATTTTAGCAATTATTTAACATAATTGAAGTACAGGAAACTAGTTTTTAGTGCGCCAAACAGCCACTCAACACACCAAGCTTGGCGTCAGTTTGAGTCTCTGTTCAGTGGAGGGAACATCTTGTTTGAGACTCTCTTGAACATAAACTATTTTTTCTGTTTTTGCAGTGAAATTATTGGTAATTTTGAAGTTTATTTTACATATTGATAATATATAACGCAGTGCAGTGTTGATTTAAAGAAAATATTTTTTATTTACAGCAATAAAACTTAAAATTTTAGTGTTGAAATTGAATCCAGCATGGCTCCAAAGAAATCGAGAAAAGTTATTTCAATCCAGGTAAAACAGGAAATAATAAAGAAACATGAACAGGGCATTAGAACAAATGTGCTTAGTAAAGACTATGGCATGTCGGCATCAACTGTGTCGACAATTCTTGCACAGAAAGACAAGTTCAAGGAAGTGAAATAGCAGGAACAGAGAGGTTACTTCTCATTTGGATTAGGGAAAAACAAATGAAAGGTGATTCAGTTTCTACTGAATTTATTTGTGAAAGAGCCAGGAAAATTTACGAACATTTAAAGAGAGGTCAACCTGGTACTTCTGGCACAGATTCAAAGATTTTCGGGCCAGCAAAGGCTGGTTTGAAAAATTTAAGAAAAGAAGTGACATTTTCAGTGTTATTAGGCATGGTGAGGCTGCCAGTGCAGATAAAGAAGGAGCAGCAAAGTTTGTAGTGGAGTTTAAGAAACTGGTGGATGAAGAAAATTATCTTCCACAGCAAGTGTTTAATGTGGACGAAACTGGGCTGTTCTATAAGAAAATGCCCAAAAGGACATTCATCACTAAAGATGAAGCCTCTTTACGTGGGCATAAACCTTTGAAAGACCGTCTCACTCTATTGCTTGGTGCCAATGCTTCAGGGGATTTCTGACTGAAGCCTATGCTTGTCTACCACTCTGAGAACCCCAGTAAGAGGACAGCATGGAGTTTATTGGAAGCCTTTTGGATAATGCCCCTGGTCATGACCCTGAACTTGCCAGCACTTTGGAGGCTCAATTTGACTTTGTCCAGTGTTGTTTTTGCCTCCCGACACTACATCAATCATGCAGCCAATGGACCAGAATGTGATCAGCAACTTCAAGAAGTTGTACATGAAGAAAATGTTCCGGAGGTGTTATCAGGCAACTTCCACTGATCCTGAACTAACACTGGCACAGTTCTGGAAGACACAATTTAACATCCTGGAGGCTGTAAAATTGATTGTGTCCTCATGGCGATAAGTCTCCATTTGATCCCTCAATTCTGCATGGAAAGCACTGTGGCCATGAGCAGTCCATGATTTTAAGGGATTTGAGGAAGAAGCAGAGTTGGACAAGGAGATTGTGTCCATTGGTCAGTCAATGGGCCTCGAAGTGGAGGAGGATGATGTGGAAGAGCTTGTGATGTCTCATGAGCAGGAACTTACTCCTGAAGACTTGCAGCAAATGGATGAGATGTTAGAGGCTGACAGTGGTGAAGAGGAAAGGGAAAGTGATGACCATATGTCTACTTCAGATTTGAAAGATGTTGTTCACTACTGGGAGAAGTTCAGGAAACTGGCTTCAAGGCACCCAGATGTGGAAACAACAGAACCTATTTTGTGTAATGTTGAGGACAGAGTGGTCTCCTTCAAAAATCAGTTAATGATGAGGAGGAGAAATGCCCCACAAACAAAAATTGACAGTTTCTTTATTAAAAGGCAGTGGGAAAAAGATGCTACCCCTCAGCCTTCCACTTCAAGAAGGATAGAGGATGTTGCTGGAGAATCTGTCAGTCCAGAGGTTCCTGACATTTTCATGGAAGGTGACTCGCCTTCCAAGAAGCAGTAAAAGGCTTCTCCTCCACCTCCACTTCCTTCTCTTCTCCCCTCTCCTCCACCTCCCACTTCAAATTCACATCAGCATCATCATCCAGGAGCCTTCTACATACACACCTCAAAGTAAGTGTACTTTACTGCATTATTTTTTTACTTTATGTAATTTTCGGTGAGCTGGAACCAATTACCCCAAAACCCATTGAAACAATGGTTTCGGTTAACGAAATTTTTGGTTAACGAACAACCTTCTGGAGCGAATTGTGTTCATTAACCGAGGGACCACTGTACTCTGTTACAATTTGGCTGTGTTGATATATAATAAAAAAAAATTAGAGGAAGAACGATTACCCAGTACATACAAATTGTAGATATAATCTGGGACAGGTGTCAATATTCATAACCAAAGCAAGATGAATTAATGCAGGGCGTAGTAATCTGGCTATATTCGGTTCGGTTAGGTAAGGTTTAATTCTGTTCTTTTAACCCCACATTTCCCCTGATTAGTAATGTAAAGAAAAGACTTTCCTTTATTAATACCTGTACATTAAAATAAAAAATATGTTGAAAATAGATCAAAATAGTTTTCCTGAAGATAAACACTCAAAATAAAGAAGTGTCAGCATTCTTTACATTTACCCACTTGATCTTCATGGCCCCTAAACATGAAAGTGTTGGGACACATTACCATAACTCATTCAGTAACCAGAATCCTTCTTACCTAGAAACTATTCGTTGCAAAGAATCTTAAAGCAGTCATCAGCTGATGACAACAGGTCTGTCAAGCACTGGTAATGCTCCATATCACGGATAATATCAAGGAAATCTTCCATGATGTATCGTTGTCTAAATTGTGTGTCATCATGAAAAATTGATAGGATTCTGTTTATCTACCATCAATCTTCTCTCTATAAAATTTCCAGCCTCTAGGCTGGATTAATACGAGAAATGACGAATTCAATCTTAAACCCGTTTTGAATCTTGTGTTGGCTCAAGCCACAATTCTGAATACCAACAATCTTCAATCTTCGCTCGATCCTTGGTTTAAACCTTCATGCTGTTTCAAACCAGCGTTTTCAATTCGGGCCCAAAGAGTTATGTTGTTGATTACTGTCATGCCATCATCAATTACTGTCATGCTATTATCAATTACTGTCATGCCATCAGCAATTACTGTCATGCCAGCAGCTATTATTGTCATGCCATCAGCAATTACTGTCATGCCATCAGCAATTAGTGTCAGCCCATCAGCAATTACTATCATGCCATCACAACACAACACAGTACAACACAACACAGTACAACACAACACAGTACAACACAGTACAACACAACACAGTACAACACAACACAGTACAACACAACACAGTACAACACAACACAGTACAACACAACACAACACAGTACAACACAACACACACAGTGGTACAACAACACAGTAGTATACAACACAAAACAGTACAACACAAATACAGTACAACACAAACACAACACAAAACAGTACAACACAACACAGTACAGCAAATAACAACAGTACAACACAACACAGTATAACATACACATAAACATAACACAACACAGGTACATAGTACAACGCAGTACAACACAACACATACAACACAACAGTACAACACAACACAGTACAACACAACACAACACAACAAATACAACACAACACAGTACAACACAACACAGTACAACACAACACAACAACAGTACAACACAACTAGTACAACACAACACACAGTACAACACAACACAGTACAACACAACACAACACAGTACAACACAACACAGTACAACACAACACAACACAGTACAACACAACACAGTACAACACACCAGTACAACACAACACAACACAGTACAACACAACACAGTACAACACAACACACAGTACTGTACAACACAACACAGTACAACACAACACAACACAGTACAACACAACACAGTACAACACAACACAACACGAGTACAACACAACACAGTACAACATACAGTACAACATACAACACAACACAGTACAACACAACAGTACAACACAACACACAACACAACACAGTACAACACAACACAAATACAACACAACACAGTACAACACAACACAGTACAACACAACACGTACAACACAACACAGTACAACACAACAGTACAACACAACACAGTACAACACAACACAGTACAACACAACACAACAACAGTACAACACAACACAGTACAACACAACACAACACAGTACAACACAACACAGTACAACACAACACAGTACAACACAACACAGTACAACACAACACAACACAGTACAACACAACACACAAATACAGTACAACA